GAGCCCCCAGTCCCCGGCCGGGAACCTCACGAGCACGCGGACGGCGGCGAATAAGACGGCTGCCAGGGTCGTCACCTCCGTACCTGTCCGGTCAGGGGCTTCGCGCCCCAGTCTGGCCCTACCAGCAAGCGACGCCCAAGACCTCGCCGGTCCCACCCCGCCCCGCCCTTGTGGGCTGCCCGACGCGCCGTACAACCCCTTCAGGCCCACTCCACACCCTCCCACCCCTGAGCCCCAGAGGCGCTCTGGGTTCAGGGAATACACTACTTTTCCCCGAAAACAGGTCTGGTTTTAAAAATGTGCACTGAGCGCAGCCCAGGAGACATCGATCAGGCACAAAGCTGGACACCTGGAGTGAAATACGCGCGTGCGCGCTGTGCCTGGGAAGCCGATTAGGACCACAGGAGAGAGGCTTGTCGTTGCCAGCGCCCTCTGCCGGCGGGTAGGAGACCGCGCGGAGCGTTAGGGGTCTCATTTGGAGCAGGCAAGTTGGTTCCGGTCGCTGAGTTTTTGTGGGCTAAAATCTCAGTAGTAATAAAAATCGTGGTAATTTCGATAACTACGTATCTCCTCAGTTAGCTCGAGGGAAAATTAAATTTTGGTGCTACTCAGTGTTGTCAACCATATGGGGATATAGGCATTCTCACGTCTTTAAGATGCAAACGTAAAGTAATGCAAATTTACATAATGGCATTTTGGAATTTTTTTATTTAAAAAGAGGAAACATTAAAAGTACAAACCCTTTCACCCAATGCTCCCACTTCCAATAATGTATAGAAAGAAAAAAAAGACATAATAGATACATGCATAAGGGTATTGGGAGAGCCAGGATTCCAGAGGTAATGGATTCAAATTCTAACTGCAATTTCCTGGCTACGTGAGATCTGGGGCGGGTCGATTGTTTAACCTCTCCGTGCCTCTGTTTCCTCACTTGTTTAATGATAATGATAATATTTATTTTATTAGGTTGGTAGGAAGATTAAGTGAATCTATGTAAAGAACTTGAAATATAACTATTGTAATGGTTTTTTAAAAAATCTCAGTTAATCTCAGATTAAAAACAACTCGAGAACTCCATACGGTTGATGGCTGGTGGAGGTGGGGGGCAAATAGTAAAAGATGAATTGGGCAAACTTTCTACTACTGCTGCTTTTTTTACCATTTCATCTTCTAAATATTTCTAATTATTCTGAATGTTTAATGCATTTGCATAATCCAAAAAGCAAAACAATATAAAAAGAATGCACTGAGAAACCTCCTTTCATCCCCGTGTTCCCATCCACTTTTTCCCCCTTGCCCACTGCAGGTAACCCTTGTTATTAACTTCTCACTTATCCTCTCAATGTTTTATGCAAATGTAAACAAATATGAATAATATATCATCTTATTCCTCCCATTTCTTATGCAAAATTTAGCATACTATATACACTTGCCCCTTAATTTAGCATACTATATACACTTGCCCCTTACTATATACACTTGCTCCATTTCTTATGCAAAATTTAGCATACTATATACACTTGCCCCAGGTACTTTAACAATGTATCCTGGAGGTCTTTCTAAATCAGCAAATAGAGCTCCCTCATTCCTTTTATCAACTACATAGTACTCTATTGCATCAATATACTTAATTCATTAACCAGCCTCTTCTAGTGGGATACTTTGTTTTCAGCCTTTTGTTATGAAAACAATGCAGCAGTGAATCACGTTGTACATATGACATTCCATATCTGAGCAAGTATATCTGTAGGATATACTGGGTCAAATAATAATTGCATCTATAATTTTAGTAGAAATGGCCTCCATCCCCATCAATTAAAGAGAAATAGTATGAAAAACAAATTTAAAGGCTGTGAAATGCACTGCATACACATATTTTTATCGCGGAAAACCATAGATAACATAGTTTCCCACTTTAACCATTTTTAAGTGTACAGTTCAGTGGCACTAAGTACGTTTACATTATCCTGCAACCATCACCGACCACTACCCATCTCCATCTTTTCATATTGAAACTCTGTACCCATTAAATGCTAGCTCACTTTCCTCCCCTTACCCTAGCCCTTGGTAACAAGCAGAATTTGACTATTCTAAATACCTAGTATAAGTAGAATCATACAATATTTGTCCTTTTGTGTCAATCTAATGTCTTTAAGGGTCATTCATGTTGTGGCAGGTGTCAGTATTTCCTTCCTTTCTAAGGCTGAATAATATTACATTTAATATATCTACCACATTTTGTTTTCTTATTCACCCATCAGTGCACATTTGGATTGTTTCTACCTTTTAGCCATTGTAGATATGCACATATTTTTTTAAATATATTTTATTGATTATGCCATTACAGTTGTCCTATTTCTACCCCTTCATTCCCCTCCACCCTGCACACCCCCTCCCCCACCATTCCCCCCTTTAGTTTATGTCCACGTGTCTCAAGTTCTTTAGATTCTATATTTCCCCTACTATTCTTACCCTCCCCCTATTTTCTACCTACCATCTATGCTACTTATTTTCTGTACCTTCTCCCCCCTTCTCCTCCTCCCACTCCCCTGTTGCTAACCCTCCATGTGATCTCCATTTCTATGGTTCTGCTCCTGATCTAGCTGTCCTCTTAGTTTGCTTTTGTTTCAGGTGTGGTGGTTAATAACTGTGAGTTTGCTTTCCTTTCGCTGTTCATATTTTTATCTTCTTTTTCTTAGATAAGTCCCTTTAACATTTCATATAATAAGGGCTTGGTGATGATGAACTCCTTGAATTTGACCTTATCTGAGAAGCACTTTATCTGCCCTTCCATTCTAAATGAAAGCTTTGCTGGATAGAGCAATCTTGGATGTAGATCTTTGGATTTCATGACTTGGAATACTTCTTTCCAGTCCCTTCTTGCCTGTAAGTCTCTTTTGAGAAATCAGCTGACAGTGTGATGGGAACTCCTTTGTAGGTGACAGTCCCCTTATCTCTTGCTGCTTCTAGGATTCTCTCCTTCATTTTAATCTTGGCTAATGTAATTATGATGTGCCTTGGTGTGTTTCTTCTTGGGTCCAGCTTCTTTGGGACTCTCTGAGCTTCCTGGATTTCCTGGAAGTCTATTTCCTTTGCCAGATTGGGGAAGTTCTCCTTTATTATTTGTTCAAACAAGTTTTCCACTTGTGGTTGTTCCTCTTCCCTTTCTGGTACCCCTATAGTTCAGATGTTGGAATGTTTAAAGATGTTATGAAGGTTCCTAAGCCTCTCCTCATTTTTTAAAATTCTTGTTTCTTCATACTTTTCTATTTGGTCATTTTTTTTTCCTTCTGGGCCACTCCCTTGATTTAAGTCCCAGTTTCCTTTCCATCACTACTGGTTTCCTGTGCATTTCCCTTCATTTCAATTAGTTTAGCCTTCATTTGTTCCTCTAATTTGTGACTAAAATCAACCAGTTCTGTGAGCATCCTGATCACCAGTGTTTTGAACTGTGCATCTGATAGACTGGCTATTTCTTGGTTGCTTAGAGTTATTGGCTCTGGGGCTTTGAGTTCTTCTTGAGCCATGATGTTTTGGTCTGTTCGCGCCTGTTATGTATGAGGGGCAGAGCCCTGGGTGTTCCCCTGGGTTGTGACACTGTATGTGGGGGCAGAGTCAAAGAGGGGTGATAGTGGTCCCCTCTGCTGCTTCCTGCCGCTGGGGCCTGCGAGGTCTGTCTCACTGCTTGCTCCTTCGTCTGGTTTAGCTGCCTGCGAATGTGTGACCGTGGTCAGCCTGCTGCCTTGCACCCTCACTGGGTCTGCCTGTTGCAACCCCACACCTGGGATCTGCCAACTGCCGCCCGTGCCTGGGCTGGTCCGGCCAAGTTTTCCTGTGCAACCCCACTCCACCAGCTGCTGGCTCTACCCCTCTTACTGGTCTGGCTGAATGGTCCGTTGTTATCAGACTTCCGTATAGTTCAATTTTCTGTGTTTTGGTTGTGTTTTTGTTACTAAAACTTTGTTGGCTTTAAACTTGGTTGTGCAAGGAGGCACAATGTTTCCACCTACGCCTCCATCTTGGCCGGAAGTCTGATATGCACATTGTTGCATCCACCAACGAAATTGTCAGAAACTTTCAGGATTCAGAGATGTTATTTTATTGGCCAAAGTTTTAACCTGCGCAGGGGCGGACCCTCATAGTGTCCAGAGACACGGTGCTCATAAGAGCTGCAAACGAGAGCCACCCTAAGCGCTTACAGCTAAGTCTTTTTATAGATGCGAGCAAGCAAGCATTGTATAGAAGCAAATGTGGCTGTTAGCTACTGGCTACTTGGGTAGCGTGAGCATGACCTAAGCTTTCTGGGTTTTGAGTAATGGAAAAATTTTAATCTAGACACTTGAACAGGTGGTCCTCTACTTGTTCAGCCCCATTGGTTTTGTAGTTCCGCCTTCTCCACTCCCTGTGTTCTTTCTTAATTTCTTTGTGGTTTCTGCCTCCAGGCCAAATCTCTTTAAGGCAGTCCCTATTTTATTCTCTATTTTTCTGGTTTCAACACACATATTTTTAAACATAAATACATACCTATTCATCCCATCCCCAAGATTGTTATCCAAAGCAACTTTTACTTTTTCTTTTAATTTATTGATTTTCTTGAGACAGAGAAACATTGATTTGTTGTTCCACTTATTTTTGCATTCATTGGTTGCTTCTTGTATGTGCCCCAACTAGAGATGGAACCTGCAACCTTGGCCTATCAGGACAACGCTCTAGCTAATTAACCTAGCTAACCTAGCCAGGGCCTACCTAAAGCAACTTTTAATGCCAATTTTTTGTTTGCTGTTCCAGAGTCAGTCTCTGAAAACTTAAGCAACTTAGATGCAAACATAGCTTGCTATGCAAACATAGCTTGTTATACAAGCTTCTGCACTTGTTATGTCCACTGGTCAATGCCTCTTAGAGGTTATTCATATTAGTACATATTGATCTACCTTGACATTTCTTTAATTGTATTTTTAAATAATTTGAGCTGGAGCCACTCTTCTGAGTGGCTTTAACGACCTTAACAGATGTGCTGAGTTTCCATGTGAAGCAGCCAGGCCTCAGGTAGAATGGGGGTGGAAGAAGGAAAGACCCAAATGCTTCTCAGCATCATGATTGGGGGTTCCAATGAGTTTTAAAGGACAAGATGTGCTAATAGGGAAAATATTTTCTTTTTTTTCTTTTACATTGGACCAGGCTGATGGTCTTCAAGGGAAATTAGTATTCTCTTTGCCCGATGTGTCTTTTCATAGGTGCCAGCCCGAGGCTCCCTCTGATGGAGGAGCCTGAACAGGACCCCTAGGACCCTGAAACCCCCGTTTGCATGCCTGAAGGCCATCTCCCAGACTGTGATGCTGAACAGAGAACATCTGCTCTTCTGGGTGGAATCCTTCCAGAACACGGGAAAGAACCAAAAGGGAAAACCTCCCCTTAAAGAGAGGAATGCTGTTTCCCAGAGGAAGGAGGTGGTCTTCGGGCTGAGGGACTTGGAGGGGACTTGCATAAAGGGGAAGAGCAAATCGAAGGTATCAAAGCCAGGTATGGGGCGGGGACAGGTGTGGGACAGTCGTGCTTACAATCTTAAATTTTTTATCAACCATAATCTTAAAAACAAGTGATATTAACTTTAATGAGATATCCAAAATATTGTTTCAACATACAATAAATATAAAAATATTAACAAAGTATTTTACATTATTTTGGGGGGCAAAGTCTTTGAAATCCAGTGTGTATTTTGGCACTTACAGCACATCTATATTCAGATGGTGAATTTTCATTAGAAATACTTGATCTGGTTTAGATTTCATAATACTTACAGTTGAAAAATAAGTTCAAGTATGTAATTTGTTTCAAATATATTTAGAAGTTTTCCAATAACTGGATTGATTATATGTTTTTAAACTTAATTAAAATTAAGTGAAATTTAAAGTTCAGTTCCTCAGTCACATTAGCTACATTTCAAGTACTCAGTAGCCACATTGGCAGTGCTGTTGTACTGGACAGTCCAGAGAGAGAATTTCAACCCTTCTTCCCCCTGCTTTGTCACACTTTTATTAGAGGGTCTGGCTTCAGGAAATAATCTAATGTATGTTCTTCATTGCCTTACTTTGTCAGCACACACTGCGAGAGTGAGGAGAGACAAGATGACCCACGGAGCAACGATGTGCTGTTTCCCATTTCATTCTGGGGTAGAGGTGGGGACAGTGTGAGGATGGTCCCTTGGGGACCTTGAAGACTGTGTAAGAAGAGTCCACAATGTGGGTAAGCCAGAATAACCATAAAATGTTATTCTTACTTTGGGGACTTAGAACCACTTATGTCCTACTTAAAAATCATGGGAAAAACCATATTTACATAGAGACATTTTTGTTAAAGCAAATACAGACCCTTGAAAAGAATACAAGGCCTCATTAGATTCTCTAAAATCAGAAATAAAAAGATGTCCAATATCTCTGATGCTAATGAACATTGTATTTTAGGACATAACTGATACAATAAGGTGAGAAAAATATAAAAGGCATAAAGATTAGAAAGGAAAAAATTGAACTGTCCTTTTGCACAGATTATATAATGACATATATAAGATATCAAAACAATTAAAAAATTACTAGGATAGCTTTTTTTTCAATTTAGCAAGCTGGCTAGGTATAAAATCAATATAAAAATCTATTGCATTTCTATAACCAACAATAGAAGTTAGAGAATGTAATTTTTAAATAAAGCTGATGCACCTAGTAATACATGTAAGACAGCATGTGCACAATCTAACTTATAAAATTGTATTTGGCGACATTAACCGTAGCCTAAATAAGTGGGAGATCTAGCCCTTTCATGAACAGAAAGATTTAAATCATAAAGTAGTTATCCTAAATTAATCTGTATATTTTAAATAGTCCTCATGAATATCTTATCAGGATATTCTAGGAGCATGACAACAAATTAATATGTTTGTAGAGATGAGAAAAGGCCAAAACAGCCAAGAAACCCCTGAAGAAAAGGGACACAATTGTGAGGGTGGCAGGCGCTTATTTACAGTTACAGTAATTCAGGCAGTGTGGCATTGATGTCGAAATAGGAAGAAAGACCACTAGAACAGAAAAGAGTCTAGACCTAAAACAAACACACACACACACAAAGATTTGCTATATGACAAAATTTATATTATTGATCAGTGCAGGAAGGACACACTATTCAACAACTGGCCCTTGGACAATTGACTATCCAAATGTAAAAGGAAGAAAGAAAAAGGAAGGGAGAGAAGGAGGCAGGAAGGAAAAAATTGGATGCTTTCATTTCTGGAAATTCAGAGGACTAAATATCACAGGAAGTCCACCTGATATAGTGCAACTAAAAATGCTGGATACAGCATTTAACACAAGCATGTGCATGTGCACACACCTATTTGTGTTGCTCAAGTGAACTGGCAGGAAACTGTAGGAATTCCTCAGACATTGGAGATAATGTGAAATTATGAATCCCCAGGCACAGATAATAGCTGGAGCCTGTGTTTGCTAAACTAACCCCTAGTGGCCTGGAACCTGAGTTTAAAGGGCCATAAGGAGGGACAGAAAACAAAGTCTGGGATTGAGCAGAGAGAGCTGGGTTGGAAAACAACCCTACACACTTAAAGCCAAGATAGTCAAAGAATAACACCCCCAGAGAGTAAACTTCAAAAAAATACTTTGCCCAGGCTGGTGTGGTTCAGTGGATTGAGTGACAGCCTGTGAACCAAAAAGTTGCCTGTTCTGTTCCCTGTCAGGCTGCACTGCAGGCCAGGTTCCCAGTAGGGGGTGTGCAAGAGGCAACCACACATTGATGTTTCTCTCCCTCCCTTCCCTTCTCTCTGAAAATAAATAAATAAAATACTTTTAAAAAGGAAATTTTATTATAATGAAGGAACAAACAATTATAAAAACTGACTAGGTAGATTGGAAAAAATAATTATAACATGTAGTAATAAAAATATAATTATAATATAAAGTTACTAGATGGCACAAACAAAAGATTATTCATAGCTATTAACCTAAAATAAAAAGCCTTTCTAATTCTTTTTTATCCTCACCGAAGACAGTTTTTCATTGCTTTTAGAGAGAGAGGAAGGGAGAGAAAGAAACTTCGATGTGAGAGAAGAATTGATTGGTTGCCTCCAATACGCACCCAGACCAGGGACTGTACTCACCCAGACTCAGACCCGGGACTGGGGATAGAACCCACAACCTCAGTAAGTGCTCTGACTGAAAATTGAACCCACAAACTTTTGGTTTCCGGAGGATGCTCCAACTAAGTGAGCCACACCAGCCAGGGTTAAAATAAAAAGCCTTTCATAGGAAGAGGCAACAAGCATTTATTTGGGAAGCACTGATTCCAGCAGAAGCCTAGATAGTATTCCAATCAAGAGACAAGACAAGGAGTATTTATGAGAAAGAGAAGGGGAACAATTAAAGCAATAAAAGGAAGGCATTTTTATTGCTTCAGACAAGCTAACAGACTGATATTAATTCTTAACAGTGTTTTGACTTCCGCCCAAGATGGAGGTGTAGGTGGAAATATTGTACCTCCTCATACAACCAAGTTTAAGGACAACAAAGATTTAGAAACGAAAACACAACCAAAACAGACAGAAAATTGAACTGTACTGAAGTCCGACAACAAGGAACCATTCATCTAGATCAGTAAGAGGGGCAGAGTTAGTGGCCAGTGGAGAGGGGTCGAGGCAAGAAAAGTGGTGGCTGACAGACCGACCCCGGCACACAGGCAGCAGTTGGCAGATCCCAGGCGTGGGGTGGCAACCGGCAGACCCAGTGAGGGTGCAAGGCAGCTGGCTGACCACGGACACACATTCACATGAAGATAAACCAGGTAAAAAAACATGCCGTGAGACATACCATGCTACCCAGGGCCCCAGTGACAGGAATTAAAGCTTAAAAGCACCAACTGGAAAAACTTCCAGGGGTTGAGGTGCCGGGAGAGGCTCCTGGCCTCACAGGAGAGTTCATTGGAGAGACCCACAGGGTCCTAGAATGTACACAAGCCCAACCCTGGAACCAATACCGGAAGGGCCCAATTTGCTTGTGGGAAGCAGCAGAGGGGACTGAAATCCGAGAGAGAGTGGAACAAATGCCATTGCCCCTCTCTGACCCCACCCCCCAGTCACAACTAAGCAACTGGGTTGTCCCACCCTGGTGAATACCTAAGGTTCTGCCCCTCATACACGTAACAGGCACAAATAGACCAAAACATTATGGCTCAATCAGAAGAACAAATCAAAGCCCCAGAGCCAATACTTCTAAGCGACCAAGAGACAGCCAATCTATCAGATGCACAGTTCAAAACACTGGTGATCAGGATGCTCACAGGATTGGTTGATTTTAGTCGCAAATTAGATGAAAAAATGAAGGCTACACTAAGTGAAATGAAGCAAAATGCACAAGGAACCAATAGCGATGGGAAGAAAACTGGCACTCAAATCAATGGAGTGGACCAGAAGGAAGAAAGAAACAACCAAACAGAGAAGAATGAAGAAACAAGAATTCAAAAAAATGAGGAGAGGCTTAGGAACCTCCAGGACATCTTTAAACGTTCCAAAATCCAAATTATAGGGGTACCAGAAGGGGAAGAGGAACAGCAACAAGTGGAAAACTTATTTGAACAAATAATAAAGGAGAACTTCCTCAATCTGGCAAAGGAAATAGACTTCCGGGAAATCCAGGAAGCTCAGAGAGTCCCAAAGAAGTTGGACCCAAGAGGAACACACCAAGGCACATCATAATTACATTAGCCAAGATTAAAATGAAAGAGAGAATCCTAGAAGCAGCAAGAGATAAGGGGACAGTCACCTACAAAGGAGTTCCCATCACACTGTCAGCTGATTTCTCAAAAGAGACCTTGCAGGCAAGAAGGGGCTGGAAAGAAGTATTCCAAGTCATGAAATGCAAGGACCTACAACCAAGATTGCTCTGTCCAGCAAAGCTTTCATTTAGAATGGAAGGGCAGATAAAGTGCTTCTCAGATAAGGTCAAGTTCAAGGAGTTCATCACCAAGCCCTTATTATATGAAATGTTAAAGGGACTTATCTAAGAAAAAGAAGATAAAAAATATGAACAGTGAAAGGAAAGCAAACTCACAGTTATTAACCACCACACCTGAAACAAAAGCAAACTAAGAGGACAGCTAGATCAGGAGCAGAACCATAGAAATGAAGATCACATGGAGGGTTAGCAACAAGGGAGTTGGACGGGGAGAGAGGGGAGGAGAAGGTATGTATAGAGAATAAGTAGCATAGATGGTAGGTAGAAAATAGGGGGGAGGGCAAGAGTAGTGTGGGAAATGTAGAAGCTAAAGAACTTCTGACACATGGACATGAACTAAAGGGGGAAAATGGGGGAGGGGGTGTGCAAGGAGGAGGGGAACGAAGGGGGGGAAATGGGATAACTGTAATGGCATAATCAATAAGATATATTTTTAAGTGTTTTTAATTTTCAATGTGGTAAACATCAGTCCAACAGTTACAATATCTGCTTTCTTTGCTAGCAGTTCTTTGGTACAAAATGTTGCTTTAAGCCCAGTCCAAAGGTTATTTTGCCCTGTTTAACATTTCAAAGTCTAAGGCATGGGAAGGGGCTAGGCAGTTAGTTCCTCTGGGATTGCAGCTCTGGCTCTCTATTAAAATGGCTTCATATCCCAGCTGGTGTGGCTCAGTGGATTGAGTGCCAACTTGCAAACCAAAGGGTCATGGGTTTGATTCCCAGTCAGGGCACATGTCTGGGTTGTGGGCCAAGTCCCAGGTAGGGGGCACATGAGAGGTGACCACACATTGATGTTTCTCTCCTTCTTTCTCCCTCCCTTCCCTTCTCTCTAAAAATAAATCTCTCTTTTTTTTTTTTAAGATTTTATTTATTTATCTTTAGAGGGGAAGAGGGGAAAGGAGAGAGGGAGAGAAACATCAATGTATGGTTGCCTTTTTTTTTTTTTGTGCGTCCCCTGCTGGGAACTGGCCTGCAGGGAACCGGCCTGCAACCTAGGAATGTGCCCTGACTGGGAATCAAACTGCAACTGTGTGGTTCGCAGGCCCGCGCTCAATCCACTGAGCTACACCAGCCAGGGCTGAAATAAATCTTTTTTTTTTTTTTTTAATATTTTTCTTTCTTTATTTTTCGAGAGAGGGGAAGGGAAGGAGAAAGAGTGGGAGAGAAACATCAACGTGTGGTTGCCTCTCATGCGTCCCCTGCCGGAAACTGGCCTGCAACCCAGGCATGTGCCCTGACTGGGAATCGAACCGTGATACTCTGGTTCGCAGGCCTGCGCTCAATCCACTGAGCCACGCCAGCCAGGGCAGAAATAAATCTCTTTTTAAAAGAAACTTTGCAGGCTAGAAGTGATCGACAAGAAATATCCAAAGTCATGAAAAGCAGGGACCTACAGCCAAGATTGCTCCACCAGCAAAAATACCATTTAGAATCAAGGGGCAGATAAAGAGCTCCCCAAACAAGAAAAAAACTAAAGGAGTTCATCATCACCAAACCATTATTATTTGAAATGTTAAAGGGATTTATTTAAGAAAAGAGGATCAAAACTATGAACAATAAAATGCCAGTAAATACATATCTGTGAACAATTGAATCTAAAAAACAAATTAAGCAAACTAGAAGAACAGAGACAGAATCATGGATACAGAAAGCTTTTTTTTTTTTAATTTTATTTATTTATCTTTAGAGGGGAAGGGAAGGAGAGAGCGAGAGAAACTCAATGTATGGTTGCCTTTCATGTGTCTCCTGCTGGGAACTGGCCTGCAACCCAGGAATGTGCCCTGACTGGGAATCGAACCGTGATTGTCTGGACGGAAAGCTTTTTGATGGTTGCCAGATAAAGTGTGGTGTGGGGGAATGGGTGCAGAGGTGAGGGGATTAAGAAGTACCAATAGGTAGTTAGACAACAGCCATGGGGATGTAAAGTACAGTATAGGAAATGGTGTAGTAAAGAACCTATATGCATGACCCATGGACATGAACAAAGGTGTGGGGATTGCCTGATGGAGTAGGGGGTGCTGGGTGGAGTGGGGGCAACGGGGAAAAAATTAGGACAACTCTAATACCATAATCAAAATATAATTTAAAAAAAGAATGAACAGAGAAAATATTAAATATATGAATAAAGCTATACAAATCTTAACTACTTGAAATAATAATGATATATCTAATTTGTTAGATTAATGAAATACTATAATTTAAAAACTGGGTTACGAAAGCATATAAATTCAAAGGAGAACATTATGCCAAGTGAAATAAGCCAGTCAGAGAAAGACAAACACCACATGATTTCACTCATGTGGAATCCAATGAACAAACTGAACTAATAAGCAAAACAGAGACAGACTCATAGATACAGAGCAGGCTGACAGCTCTGGGGGCGGGGACTGGGGATTGAGGGATCGAGCGAGAAGGGTAAAGAACTCGTGGACATGGACAGTGATGTGGTGATCGGCGGTGGAGGGGAATGAGTGGAGGTGGAAGAGAGTGTGGGGGAATAAATGGTGATGGAAACAAAATTAAATTAAAATAAGAAAAAAATAAGGACTCTAAAACGCGGGCACTGAGCGTCAGTCCATCTTGTCTAGGTGTGTTAGTTTGACTGAGGCGTTCCAGAGGCTTTGGGCCACGGAAGGGTCCTGAGCAGCTTTATGGGGAAGAGTTATCACACAGGAACTGCTAAAGTATTTTCCAGAAATGCCATCCAGTTCCTTTGCCAAACTCAGATAGAGGATTGGGTTTGCACCTTGTTGAGGATCCTGTGGAAACACGGGGGGTGGGGGGGAGGCAGGGGAGTGGAGGGAGGTCAGGGGGGACACACAGAAGTGGAGCCCGGCCCCACCCTCTTCAGGCCAAACCAGCTCCTCCCCTCCCCACCTTAATGAAGAAGCTGGAGAGCCAGAAGAGGAATCGGTACGGCCAAGAAAACTGGTTCATGATCTTCGTGTATACAACACCTGGGTGCACAGAGTTCACGGTCACACCTGAGAAGGGAAGACAAGCATAATGCCAAATGAAGTGAGAGGATGATGGGAGGAAAGGATGGAGTGTGATTCTGCAGTGTGCAATGAGAGAAGGATCCTACCAGCTCTGTTGGCACAGGTAACCAGAGACTTGGGGGTGGTACCGGGGACATCAGTGCTCTGGAACCCACATGAGTGGTGGTAGCCAAGCCAGTAAGGAGACACGAGTATTTGAACGTGTTGAGTTCAGTTTAGGAGGAATATGATGTATGGTGTTAGACTGGGAAATACTGGGAGAAGAGGGATGTTGAGGTGATAAGAGAGTTGGAAAGGTTGAAAAGGAGACATGAGGACAGGGTTGAGAGAACTATTAGGGGCACAGATGTAAATGGAAGGAATTAACAGTCAGCTTGAGAGGTGTCAGGAGTATTTTATGGCCAGGACATGTTGAGAGGTTGAAGGGTTGGGAGGGGAGGAATAGGGGGTGTCAGAGGCAGTTACCTGTCCCTTGAAGTCTTCTGGCAAGTTCCCCAGTGAATGAGATCAAAAGCAGTTTGCTGCAGTAATAGTTCTGGTTGAAGGTCAAAGGCCCGCCAGCCCCTGTCAGATGTTCCTCATCAATGTATCCAGATATGTGCTTAAAGGAAGACACATTTATCACCCGGGCTGACCCTGCCCGTTGTAGCGCCCCTGGGGAGAGAGAGAACCATGCTCCTTGAGTCCAAGTCCTGGAATAAACTCCTGGCCTGCTTCTCCAGGAGACTCCAGGAGAGCAGGGACCACCCAGGGCTTTCAGGAGAGTGTGAGGGTGCCCCTACCCAACCTACACACAGGAGAAGTAAATGTGAACGGAGACTTCATTTTCATTAGCTGCTTCCTAGTGCTCTCCTCCCTCTTTTATTTTAGTGTGTGAAGTTTTGTCTAGCTTTTCTTCCACTTGCCAGCTGGAGCTAATTTAATCGATCCTTGTTTGTGTTTGACCTCAATGACAACAAGGGGAGAAAGGAGAGACTGGAAGCACTAGCAGAGCTGTCTGGCACATATTCCCACATTCATTCACTTGCTCATTTCATGTGTGCTCATCAGGCCCCTGGATTGCGGCAGGCACCGAAATGCATGCTAAGGACGTAAGAGTGCTAGGTTTGGGGAAAAAGAAATACAGAGAGATACTTGGGAATGTTTTTTTTTAAACTGTCTCCCAAAGGAACAAAAGTAAAATAATAATCAACAGGACATGTTAAATCTTTTTTAAAAGTGAGTACCTAACTATACAAAAAAGTCAATTATAGAAATTATGGACAATAGTAGTTGTCACATGAGTTTACAGTATTGCCTTCAAAATGCTAAAACTATTTTGTGCTCCACACTGAAATGAAGAAGTAACACAATTTAAACAGGTGGTATTCAGCCAAAATTTGCTAGAGAGGAAACTATTCTTAAAAAAGACAGTGGACCCTAAACTTGCCGGCACAGTGATATAAAAACCGAAGGGACTCACGGCCTAGTTGGAGACTGACAGAGGCTTATGACAGCCCTGTAAATTGGGAGTTGCTGGGGAGTTGGAGCTGCTGTCAGTGCGGGACCCACAGCACAGGCTATGTCTGTGCTGAGTCTTGACAGATGAACTAAAGTTAGCCAGACTAAGCTGGTGGGAAAGGACATTCCAGGTAGAGGGGATCGCATTCGCGAAAGCACAGCCGGGGTGGAGGGGATAGCGTGTGGTCCAAGAGCTACAGACCGTCTCTGGCTGGAGATGAGGGTATGGGTTAAGAAAGAGCAAAAGTTCAGGTTCTCAGTCTTGTAAGTAAAAAGAAAGGGCTTAGAGTATATCCTATAAAACAGCAATCCCCAATGTTTCTGGCACCAGGGACTGGTTTCGTGAAAGACTATTTTTCCAGGGACTGGGTTAAGGGGGTGGTTTTGGGGTGATTCAAGCACATTACATTCAAGCTCACCTCCTGCTTGTGGACACAAGTTCCTAACAGGCCCAGACCAGTAATGGTCCACAGCCCAGAGGTGGAGAACCCCTGCTCTAAAGAACAGAGTAACTTTACAGGATTACAAGCAAGAAATACTTAGGAACACAATTTAGGTTGCTACCTGAATTTTTGTATTCCAGGCTAGAGCAACTTTTGCTCAAATAGATTCTTTTTATAAAAAAGAAAAAAGACAAAACACTAATACTGAGCAAGATGCAAACACGTGAGTTTTTTGCAAGAGAAAAAACATACTCATACTCGCAGATGCAGAGTTTTGCATTGCTCTTTGTTCACTCTCCTGTTGGGACTAACGTGATCAGCCACGAAAGGGTACACAAGGCCCCGACAACAGTAGTTCCCTCTCAGGAGGGGAATGGATAGCTGACTTTCAAGGAGCAGAGGATAATTATTTTTCTATATCCTTTGTACACTTTCAATTTTGTATTTTAGATATGTAATACCTGACTAAAAAATTGGTTTTCTTTTAAAGGGGCTATTACACAATACAGGAAAATATGTTAGGGAAATTTTGCTTGCTACCCATTTTCTCCCTCCTCTCCAGGAGGAATCCAAACCTCCTTAATCAGAAAGGAGTGTGAGTCAGAAAGTCAAAGGACTTGGGCCCAAGGAAGCGCATAAAGAAGTGCCCAAGGCTGTGGTATTTTTTACCACTGTCCCTGGAAGTTTCTGAGCTTCTTGGTGTCTCTACTCCTAGTGGCCTAGTGCCAACCTCAGGACACCTTGGTTGAGATGACTGCCTCTACTGGTGTCACTGGGACTCAGAGCTACAAGAAGGAGAGGTGGGATCTTACGTCCCCTTGCTGGTTGTATTTTGGGCTGACTCCATGACAAGAATCCTAATCCTGACGGTCAGGTGGTTGCCCTATTATGTGCAGCAAGCAGCTGGCCAAGAAAATGCCAGGGGAATGGAGAAGCAGGGCCAGCAAAGAAGGTAGGCATTCTTCCTTACCTTGCAGTAGGTTTGTGAGCAGAAAAGGCCCAACATAATTGGTAGCAAAGGTGAGATCAAGGCCCTCTGGGGTTAGTTTCTTGGGGAGTCCTGGGAGGAGATGAAAACACAAGAAATGGATGATGGAGGGACTGCCCTGAGGGAGAAAAAGTCTGAGGGGATATATTGGGGATCAGCAGAAATGCTATAGGAGCATGTATGTGCAAACATGGGGCAATGACATTTGAGGCTATAACTTGAGGCAGGCTCTTTAGAGTTGTGTATGAATTAAGAGTGTTTCAGCAGGATGCAGAGTTAGGCTTTGGGGATACCTGTTTTGGGGTCTCTGACCTAGAGGGCAGTGTCCTGAAATGTGTTTAGGAGAAGCAAATGAAGGCACATACCACAGACTGCAGCACTGTTAACTAACAGATGTATTTCAGGACATTCCTGCAGGAGCCACTGGGCAAAGCTCCGGACAGAGGCCATGGAGCTCAGGTCCACTTCCCCAAGCAGAAGGCAGGCATCCTTTGAGACTGCTTGGATCTCAGCCAGGGCCCACTGTCCACGCTCGTGGCTCCGGCAGGCAAGGATCACACGGGCCCCACGGCGGGCCAGCTCCTGGGACACAGCCTTCCCTATGCCTGCAGAAGAGCAGCCTGCGAGTAGGCTAGTCTGGGAAGTGACTAGAGGGCAATGGAGCAAGGGGCCAGAGGTGCGGACCATGCATACTGCTTCTTCCCCTGCCCCCTGTTAAGGCTGTTGGGGGACTGAAGCCCCCAGTGAGTAACAGGGTGGGAGGAGCACTCACCACTGGTGGCCCCAGTCACCACCGCCGTCTTCCCAGTCAGGTCTGTGGAGCACTGCTGAAGGTCCCAAAGATGAGACTTATACCAGAGCCTCACACTTAGTCTCAGCAGGAAGACCAGAATGAGGAGGACAGAGCCAGGTCCCCAGACATGGGTGCTGACTAGAGACCACAGCGACATTGCAGATTACTGGCCTGCCACCCAGAGTACGAAGAGAGTGAAGAAGTCAAAGCTGAGTGACCACTAGCGATCAGGCTGGGGTGGAGCCCAAGTCACAACACTTTTTAAGGAGGCACTCTCACATTTGTTCAAGCAACCCATCTGAACCCGAATCAGTTCCTCCTTATAGTCTGCCCTAGGCACTGGATTGCCTCATCCCGATAATCAAAAACCAACAAACCCTCACAGTTTTCCCTAAACTTTTTTTTGCTAGGGCTCAAATCTGTCTCCAAGCCAAACTTGGAGTGGCATTTTAAGGTGAAGTGACAGAGCCCCAGGGACTAGGGAAGCAAGAAATCAAATTCCTAGTGCCTTGAGACTTCTGCCCAAGATGGGGGCATAGGTGGAAACACTGTGCCTCCTCGCACAATCACGATTAAGGACAACAAAGATTTAGAAACAAAACCACAACCAGACCAGTAAGAGGGGTGGAAAGGGGTCACGGCAGGAAAAGGCAGTGGCAGCCAGACCCAGGAGCACAGGTGGTGCAGGTGGACCGTGGTCACACATTTGCTGCAGATAAACTAGGCAAAAACAGGCAGCAAGACAGACCATGAAACCCAGGGCCCCAGCAATGGAAAATAAAACCTAAAAGCACCAATTGAAAAGGCGCCAGCTTGTGGGAAGTGGCAGAGGGGACTGAAATGTGTGAAAGAGAGAGAGAGAGAAAGGAACAAGCGCCACTGCTCCCTCTCTGACCCCGCCCCCAGTCACAACCAAGCAACTAGGTTGCCCTACCCCAGGAACACCTAAACTTTCACCCCTCATATGTAATAGGCACAAACAGACCAAAACATCATGGCTCAAGCAGAAGAACAAATCAAAGCCCCAGAGCCAATATTTTTAAGCAACCAAGAGATAGCCAACCTATCAGATGCACAGTTCAAAACACTGGTGATCAGGATGTTCACAGGATTGGTTGATTTTAGTCGCAAATTACATGAAAAAAGGAAGGCTACACTAAGTGAAATGAAGCAAAATGCACAGGGAACCCATAGCGATGGGAAGAAAACTGGGACTCAAATCAAAGGAGTGGACCAGAAGGAAGAAAGAAACAACCAAACGGAAAAGAATGAAAAAAACAGGAATTCAGAATAATGAGGAGAGGCTTAGGAACCTCCAGGACATCTCGAAACATTCCACATCCGAATTATAGGGGTACCAGAAGGGGAAGAGGAACAGCAACAAGTGGAAAACTTATTTGAACAAATAATAAAGGAGAACTTCCCCAATCTGGCAAAGGAAATAGACTTCCAGGAAGTCCAGGAAGCTCTGAGAGTCCCAAAGAAGTTGGACCCAAGGAGGAACACACCGAGGCACATCATAATTACATTACCCAAGATTAAAATGAAGGAGAGAATCCTAGAAGCAGCAAGAGATAAGGGGACTGTCACCTACAAAGGAGTGCCTATCAGACTGTCAGCTGATTTCTCAAAAGAGACCTTGCAGGCAAGAAGGGACTGGAAAGAAGTATTCCAAGTCATGAAATCCAAAGACCTACAACCAAGATTGCTCTATCCAGCAAAGCTTTCATTTAGAATGGAAGGGCAGATAAAGTGCTTCTCAGATAAGGTCAAGTTCAAGGAGTTCATCACCAAGCCCTTATTATATGAAATGTTAAAGGGACTTATCTAAGAAAAAGAAGATAAAAAAGATGAACAGCGAAAGGAAAGCAAACTCACAGTTATTAACCACCACACCTGAAACAAAAGCAAACTAAGCAGACAGCTAAAACAAGAGCGGAGCCACAGAAATGGAAATAACATGAAGGGTTAGCAACAGGGGAGTGGGAGGAGGAGAAGGGGGGAGAAGGTACAGAGATAAGTAGCATAGACAGTGGGGAGAAAATAGACAGAGGGAAGGCAAGAGTAGTGTGGGAAATGTAGAAGCTAAAGAACTTCTGACACATGGACATGAACTAAAGGGGAGCAATGTGGGTGGAAGGGGGTGTGCAGGGTGGAGGAGAATGAAGGGGGGGAATGGGACAACTGTAATGGCATAATCAAAAATATATTTTTAAAAATTTTAATAATTTAATTAAGTAAGAAAAAAACAAATTCCTGGTGCCTTGAATCACTCTGTGCCTAAGCAGGGCCACTTCCTTTCCCCCCAACCAAGCAGAGACAAGGTTCTCCCAACTGAGGTAGACCCCACTTGCAGCCCTCCATCTGCTCCTTTGTAAGACAGGGATAGTTCTCCAGAATGCTTCTGCTGGGGAGTGGCCTTGACCCTGAAGCAGGGTCTCCTTTGGGTGGAAATGGGTTTATTCCCTGAAACCAGTAGTATTCTATCCTCTTCTAGTCCTGCCAGGAGAACTCTTCCTCCCCAGTTCAGTGAGAATACCCATCTTTGGAAGAAACCAACAGAGATACCAGGCCAATTCTTAAGGCAACTCAGGTGTTTATTTCTGGCAAGCAGAGAGAGGAATGTAGCATTCCCACTCAGAATGGGGCAGGGGCTTGGAGGGGAGTGACCACACTTAGGGGGCTGAGTTCTTCATTAGTTCTGCCATAGTCATCTGGGCTTCTGGGCACCGATCTGGATGGGCTGCTACTCAGTGGGAAGAGAGGTGCAGCCTTCTTTGTCTTCCTCCTGGCGTGTGCCAGAGCTGAGCAGCTCCTGCATGGTTGGCTTCCACATGCTCACACCGGGAACCAGCTTCATGGCTTCTGGCTGCAACGGAGGCTTCCACATCACCTGGGAAGTGGCCTCAAGGATGCGGGGCTCAGAATAAGGCAACCTGTGAGGATCCACGCCCTGCGGAGGTACACGGCTACGGCCGACCCACAGCTCTTCCAGCATTTCGGCCTCCCGCTCCCAGCCCCTGGGCCACTTTGCGCTGGGCCACATGTTGGGGTTGATGCGGCAGGGGCGATCCAGGTGCTTTTCAAGAAAGCGGTTCTCGCAAGTGAGCAAGGGCTCCTCTGACTGGCCTAAGCTTAAAGGGAGAATCTGGAGGCCGGGGCCTAAGGCAGGAAAAGAACAGGCTGGAGGGAACGGGCAGAAAGCTGCTGCAGAGACTCCGAAACTGGGGCCAGTGGCTGGGCGTCTGGCCGAGGTCTCCGTCTTCTTGAACCGCTGGCGCCTGAGGTAGATTCCCAGGGAGTCCACCTCAGAACCTGGACCTACAATCTCAACTATCGGGCTTACTGAGCGGCACGGCAGCTGCCCCAATCCAGGCAGCCGCCCCAACGCTGCCTTGCAGCCCTTCCTGTAGAAGTTCGTGTGCCAGGGCTGCTGTGGCTGGAAGGATGTGGAGGGGTTGAGCACGGTGGGGCCCAAGGCTGTGCGAGGCACCTCCTCCTCCAGTGTTCCCTGGTCCCCAGCAGCATGCGACTGTGGTGTGCAATAGAAGTCCTCTAATGAAAACTGGGAGCTGTGGGGCCGTGCCCTCTCGGCAGATTCCTGGGAGCTGGCTACCTGGGACAGCTCCAAAGAAGAGTTGTGACTGCCAGTGGGAACCATCTCCACCATCTCCACCGACAATGACTGTTGGAGACTCGTGTTCAAGGACCCAGCTGAAGAAAGGTTGCCTTCTCCCTGGCCTTCTAGCTCCTCTAAAGGACCCCCAGGTCCTGCCTCCTGAAACAGATCCGGTTTGGGTGGGGAGCTGGGGGTGTCTCTCCGCGATTCCATCTGCTCATCAAAGCCTCTATCCATCCACGATCTGTCTAAAGGAATCTGGTCCACGCTACCTTGGTCCTGGAGAAATGCCCCAGAGGCAGGCAATGAGAAGTCAGAAAGGGAGAAAGGACTTAAGGGTGGAGGAGTCAAGAGGGGCCCTAAGGTAAAAGAAGGTGCAATGGGCTTAGAGGTAGGCGTTGGAGGGAGCTGGGAGCTGGGCTTACTTCGCTTTGGAAGGTCTCCTCCAGCCCTGACCAGGCTGGGGCCTGCAGCACTGGCACGGATCCCTGAGCCCAGGCATCCATTGTGCTTGCAGAGGGCTCCTCATCCTCGTCCTCAGCCTCTCCCCATGTGGGGTCCTCGGCCACTACGGACTCTCCTTCCCGGGCCAGGAAGCGCCACTCGATGATCTGCAGCATGGCCTCCCGAGCCTGGCTGATTGTGAATGGAATGCACTGTGGAAGAGGGAGGCAAGAGAGGGTCTCGATGGGGTGGGAAGAGGTTGCAGAGTGGGGAGCGGGAGGACCCAGATCCAGGCCCACCTGCTGGGTCAAGTAGACTTTGAAGGCAGAGTCCATGACTCCTGCCAGCAGATCTGCCAAGATGTCCCCCACCACGTCCTCGCCTTCCTCCTGAGCCGAGAGTGCCATCCACTCAGCCCCAGTGAGCCGCCCAGGAACAATGTCCACCTGCGGCACAGGCACAGTAGGCGGCCGTGCCTTTTCCACCTTGGATCTGGTTACCCCGCGGTCCCGGGCCTGCTTCTGTGGGAAAGGAATAGGACAATCAGGGCAGGAAATCGAGGAATGGAAGAGAGAAGCAGCTATAGGCAAAGAGGAAGCTTTCTCAAGTTCTCTAGTTGGAAGGAAAAGCCTTTTGAAAGGGACAATTTGCTAAGAACCTACTGTGTGACAGATGCTTTTCGGTGTTTGACCTAGCTAATTTAATTTTCATAACAGCTCACTAAGCCCACTTCACAAAGAAGCTGAAACTTGGCACAAGCTAACCAGCACTTGCTTGGGATCACGCAGTAAATCCAGGCTATACGCCCGACTCCACAGTCCTTGCTCTTTGCACTAGTACAAAATGTTCTAAGTTCTTGAGAGGTCAAAGAACTTAAAAAGATGAATCAGTATATGGGTTCTAAAGTAACAGGTGTTTTGCCCCGACTGGTGTAACTCAGTGGATTGGGCATTGTCCCACAAACCAAAAGGTCATGGGTTTGATTCCCTGTCAGGGCACATGCCTGAGTTGTGGGCCAGGTTGGGGGCATAGGAGAGGCACCCAATTGATCTGTTTCTCTCCCTCTGTTTTTCCCTGCTTTCCCCTCTTTCTAAAAATAAACAAAATCTTTAAAAGAATATAGGTGCTGTTTAAAGTCACCTCCCCCTTCCTTAAATCAACTTAGATCCTTATTTCACAACATATATCCAAATAAACTCCAGATGGCCCTGGCAAGGTAGCTCTGTTGGTTAGAAGCTTATCCCAATGCACCAAGGTTTGGGTTCCACTCCACCCCCCATCAGGGTCAGAGCACATACAAGAATTAACCAATGAGTGCATAAATAAGTGGAACAACGAATCTATGTTTGTCTCTCTCTTTCTCCCCCTTCCTCTCTCTCTAAAAATCAATAAATTTATTTTTTAAATTTTAAAGAAGTAAATTCTAGATGGATTAAAGGATAAACACATACACAAATAAAATAAAGGCATAAACAAAAAATAAAATGTAGGAAAAATAGATTAACTTCTCATATAATCTCTGGGTAAGAAAAAAACTGTAAGATAATGAAGAGCTCTGACCAGTGTGGCTCAGCTGGTTGGTCATCGTCCCAAAAAACAAAAGGTTGCTGTTTTGATTCCTGGACAGGGCACATGCCTGGGTTGCCAGCTGTGCCCATTTGGAGCATATGAGAGGCAACCAATCTATGTTGTTTTCCCTCTCTTTCTTCCTCCCTTCCCCTCTCTCTAAAAATAAATAAAACCTTTTTAAAAAAGAAGAAAAAGAATAGCCCTGGCTGGTATAGCTCAGTGGCTTGAGTGCCGGCCTGCAAACCAAAAGGTCATTGGTTCGATTCCCAGTCATGTTAAATGCCTGGGTTGCAGGCCAGGTCCTTGGTTAGGGGTAAGAGGCAGCCTATGGATGCTTCTGTCACACATCAGTGTTTCTCTCCCTCTATTTCTCCCTCCCTTCCCGCCTCTCTAAAAAATAAGCAAAAAATTTAAAAATATATAAAAACAATAATAGAGAAATAGGTAAATGGGTATATACGTACAAGATCAAATTTTCCTGTATTTATTTTTATAAACATTCCTAATTTACAAGCTGATATTGGTAGTTACTATTTTCTGGTACTGAAAAGTATAATAGTCACATACATTGTCTTGACTCGATTCTTACATTTTTTTAGACTAGTTTTATTTACATTTGACAGAATTTTCCCAGTATCACACAGCAAGGAAGCAGTGGAGTGATAATTCAGGTGCAGGTCTGATTCTAGAGCTTGGCTTTACACCGTTTCCCAAACAAAAAGTACAGTGTGGAACAAAGTGGGTTTACAGTTGTGAGTACAAAAAAAAGAGTTTATTCTCATATTATTATTTATTATTGTATTATTTTCCATACAAACAACAGTAAACCTACTTTGTCCCACCTTACATTTGTAACAAATAGAAATTTCTCCTAATATATTAAGAACTCATGTAAAATAAAAAAAATCATAAGATCCTAGGACAATAAGGACATATTTCACAAAAGTAGAACTATAGGGGGCTAATAAACATTTGAAAACATGTCTAACCTTCAAAAATATTAATTCTAGTATTATAAATGCACTCAAAAGTCTTTAAAATATAAATATATTCTCTGACATATTTCCTGTGGTGTGATAATAGCAGAATATTGAAAACATCTAACAAAAAGAGAATGGATAGCTAATTGTGCACTATCTGTATGATGGAATATTATGCAATGATTAAAAGTAATCCTTAGGAATAATTTGCAAGAACAGAGAAAAATACTTAAGATTTAATGTTAAATGAGAGAGCAGGATACAAAATTACATATCAAGTATTATCTCATAATGTAAGCCTGTATGTGTTGAAGAAAAAAGAAAACACCAAAATTGTAACAGTAGGTGTGTTTCTTTCCTATGCCCTTCTCTACTTTGTATGTTCTTTACAATAATATTGTATCCCTTTATAATCAAGAAAACTCTACTTAAAAAGAAAAAAAGACTAGTCCCCAAATATTCATTTCAGGGCATAGGAATTCACTAGCAGATTCTTTGGAGCCTCCTCACTTCCCCACACGAGTCTCGTAAACCTGGTTTCCTCCAAAAATTTACCTCCAAATGTAATCTTCCCAAACCCAGGCTTACTGACTCATACTTGATGTTCCCCCAAATTCATTGTCCCTCAAATTCGATGTTTTCTAGACTTTACATGGGACTCAGAATTCCTTAAGCCTCATTTTCCCTCTTTGTTAGTGAGAACAGCCCTGCCAGCAAACCTGGGAAATGGCCCAAAGCAGGCTTGGCCAGAGCAGAGGAAAGCCGGTTCATTAGACTTCTCCTCCAGCTTCTCCTGTGACACCCGTGACAGTCAGGAAGGCCCGAGGACATTGTTTCACAAAGGTTCTTCCAATGTTTTATTTTAAATTTTCTTGTTTTTAAAACAATTTTGTTTTCAAGTGCTGCCTCAGGGTTGTTGCTGTTCAATCCAGTTCTTTCTCGTAAAACTCTCGAAATAGGTAACAACTGCCCCCAAATCCTGACCAAGTATGGTTAATTCATTTAAGTAGGTACCTAAGCGTAAGAGACTTAGCTGTTTCCAAAGTCACTCCCGTTCTTGGCCTTTCTCCTCAGCTTCCCATTATGTGAAAAAGTGTGTAAGTGGGCGTGTTGTTAGGGTAGGGTTTTTTTTGCCCAAGTACCGACGTGGATTCCTCGGTCATCTTGAACGCCCGGGAGCTGGGTGGGCACCGGATATCGCGGAGCTGGCCCTCGGTTTCCGACACCAACCTTAAAGGCCAATCCTGGCTCTGGAGAACCCCCAGCTGAACTGAAGCCTACCGAGCTTTCATGCGCCATGACCGCCGCAGTCGCTCCAACCTCGCTGTTTCAATAACTTCTGACCCTGCCGCCGCCGCAGCCGCAGCCGCAGCCGCAGCCACCGCCGCAGCCACCGCCGCAGCCACAGCCCCAGCCGCCTAACAGTCGCCCCAGCAACGATCGCCGGCGCCCGGTGGCTTGCCCCGCCCACAGTTGCCTCAGCAACCGGGCTTCGCTTCGCACGTTGATGCTCGCCCCGCCCAACGACTGCGTACTTGCGTCGTTTCTATGGTGGCGGCGGATTCGGTGGGACAGAAAGATCCTGGAGTAAGGCAAGCGGACCTGGGACTCACGATGTGACCTCTGAACTGGGCCGGGGCTTCGGGGAGCCGAACCGAGGGTGGAAGGGCCTGGGGACTGTCTTACTTTAATCCGCCTTGGCTCGAGCACTTAAAGCCACCAGGTCTCGTACCATCATCACCCTTGTTTCTCCAGAATCTCCACCATCGCCCCATGACTCAGCCCTGGGGCTCCCCTCTCTTGCTCCACGAGATCCTCCCACTGCCAGACCCCCCCATCCTCGTCCTCGGGGGCCCCATTTCAGCATAGCAGCATCCTCACCCCCACCCCCAGCAGAATCATTGATGTCGTCTGTTTACTCTTGAGGTTTTGGTGATTCAGACGTCTCTCCCCTAGGATGTTCCGCCGGGAGCGTTCCATCCCCCTTCGAGGCTCCGCTGCCGCCCTTTGCAACAACCTCAGTGTGCTGCAGCTGCCGGTCCGTAACCTCACACATTTTGGGGTAGTCCATGGACCCAGCGCTCAGCTTCTCAGCGCTGCTCCTGAGGGTGTGCCCTTGGCCCAGCGCCAGCTCCATGCTAAGGAAAGAGCTGGGGTGAGCCTCCCACTTATCACCCAGGTGAGGCATGGAGTTAAGAGTGGTGTTGCTGAACCAAGTCCTAACCCTTGCCCTTCCTCCCTAAACCTCAAGGAATAGGCTTTCCCTAACCCTCTGAATTTCTGTTCCTCCGGGTCCTCATGTTCCCTGACGACTACTTCTCCCTACTCTGACCCACCTTCCTTCCAGGTCCATTGGTGTGTACTTCCCTTCCGAGTATTGCTGGTACTCACCTCAAATCGAGGAATACAGGTAAGAGGAGGACCTTTGTGCCCTCCTGCACTAGTCTTTTCAGCTCCTCTCCAAGTCCCCAAAACCCTTCTGCACTTATCTGTAAACACTCTCAGGTTTTACACAGGCTTAGTCCACTCTTCCCTTTTTCTCATCTTCATTCCTTCTATCTTTTTAAATTCCCAAGTACCCTCTCCAACATATGCCCCTTTGATAGCTGTAAGACTTTGGGCAGTTTAGTTAACTTATCAGAGCCTCAGTGTCCTCCCCTGTTAATAGGGGGAAAAGTAGTTTCTACGTGCCAGAGTTGTTCTGAGAATTCAGCGGGCTAAGCCTAACATGAGTATGTGACATACTCAGCACAGAACAAAGGATAGCTGGGTTGTACTCCTGTCCTTGCCCTCATCTTCCAGATGTATGAGTCTGATGGCTCTGTCATGGTCTATTGGCACGCGCTGGACTCTGGAGATGCCTCCCCAGGTATGTGCAGGACTGAGTTGGCTGTGGGTAGGGGGTGTTTCCTGGGTCTGGAGGAAGTGCTATTTCTAATTATTTTACCCTTTTATACTCAGTACAGGCTGTGTTTGCCCGAGGAATTGCTTCCAGTGGCCACTTCATCTGTGTGGGTGAGGGGGCCAAGGGCAGGGCATTGGGGTGTGCTGGAGTATAAAGGTGTGGGCTTTGGCCTGGCGGATGCTAAAGGTCTGAGGAAATTGTGGTGTGTTAGAGGGAAGGGTGGAAGTGAAGGGGGAGTTAGAGACTCCGAAGAGCCATAGATGGGTTAGAGGGGCAGGGTGGGGTAGAATAAGAGTAATCATGGAGGGCCAGGGCTGTCCGAGTGGTGAGAGGTGGGTTTGTTACTAAGATCTGTGGGATGAAGGGAGTGCTGAGTGTGATGGCTGGAGACACGGGGGGACTAGGACTTGCTGCTCCTGCAGGAACGTGGTCAGGCCGGGTACTGGTATTTGATATCCCAGCCAAGGGTCCCAACATTGTACTGAGTGAAGAGCTGGCCGGGCACCTGACATCAGTCACAGACATTGCCAGCGAGCCTGCCCAGGAACAGGTGAGTGGATTCCCTCTTCTAATTCCAGTAAGCCTGGGAGCCTTCCCTAACTTGAGAGGCAGAAGACCTGGATGCCAGTCTTGGCTCTGCCATTAAGCAGCTGGATGACTTTGGGCAAATTGCAGTACTTTCCTAGGCCTCAGTAACCTCAGGTGCAATAATGAAGCCAGGGATACTTTATATTTATGTGGCATTTAATAGTTCACTAATACTTCTCAATACTAGTGTGAACTGAGGAGTTGTGACAGATGGTTTCTAAAAGGCTTTCCAGCTCTGACATGTGCAGCTTCCTTCTCTGGACTTGGGCAAGTCCTACATCCCCAGTCACCCTCTCCAAGAAGGCCTCCCAGCATTCCAGCTCTCACTGATCTCCCTTAACTAAACTCTGAATTTGTACTATCCTCAAAGACAACTCTTCTGTCCCTAAGTGGATTGCAAACCTCTTGAGAACATGGTTTGTATCTTCTAACTCATATCCTCTACTGAATCTGGCCCAGAATTGGGCCCATGGGCTATGTTGGCTGCCTGAGGTTGGGGGTCAAGAGGCCGAGTCCAGTTATGACTGGGACTGGCTCACTATAAGACCTCCAGAAGGTCATAACACTATAGTGTCAGTTTCATCATCCATACACTGAGTACAATTATATAACCCCTCCTAACACATGGTGTGTATGTGAAGGGAGGGTGGGGAGACTGAGGAATAGCATTTTATGCTTCCCGAGGGAACCCTGGGTCCAGCTTGTAAGGGCTTCATATCTTTGCTTTCCCTAGAGAGGTAAAGATGCAAATACTACCTCCCTTCCCCTGTATACAGGACCCAGCAGGGGAGAACGGGAAGGGCTCGCCCTGCCTTTCCACTCAGGACTGCATTGCTGACATGGTGACAGCAGATGACTCAGGCTTGCTGTGTGTCTGGCGGTCAGGTCCTGAATTCAAATTATTGACCCGAATCCCAGGATTTGGGTAGGTGAGGCAAAGGAGCTGACGCCTTCCTGAGGCAGCTTCAGGGTGGGAAGGGACCTTGCTCTGGGGAAATCAATGTGAGGCATTGCCCTTGCAGGGCCCCGTGCACTTCAGTGCAGCTGTGGCAGGGGATTGTAGCAGCAGGCTATGGGAACGGGCAACTGTGTCTGTATGAGGCCAGTACGGGAACTCTACATGCCCAGATCAACGCCCACGCCCGGGCCATCTGTGCCCTGGACCTGGCTCCAGTGGTGGGCAAGGTGAGTCTCCTCCTCCATCCCTACATAGCCTTATTCCTGATGCTGGGTGTTGAGAGGAACCCCACAGGCTTGTCTTTGCCATTTGGGAAAGCACTCCAGCCCCTACCATTCCTGTCAGCACATTCTGACTCCCACTTGTCCTACTGCCTTTTTTAATAGCTACTCTCTGCAGCTGAGGACACCTTTGTACACATCTGGAAGCTGAGCAGAAATCTAAAGAATGGCTGCATTGAGGTGTGTGCAGAGAGGGGTGGGATGGGGGCCCAAGCATAGGGCAGTAGGCCCTGAGCAGCCCTCTCTTCCCCCAGGTGGAACACTGTCATGGTGAATGTGTGCCTGACACTCAGGTGTGTGGTGCCCGATTCTGTGATCCCTCAGGCAGCTCTTTGGCTGTGACTGGCTACGACCTCGCTGAAATCCTCAGATTCAGCAGTGTGTGAGAGCAGAGAAGCCCTCCTTTCTCCCTGTGGTATCTATAAAGTACCTTCTCCACCTAGTCCTTGTCTGATTACTCGGTATCAGAGTTATCCTTCACAGCCGCTGAACTGAGCTCCAGGGAGGAGGGGATGGGGCAGGTCCAGACCAAGCAGAGGCAATCTATCGTCAAGAACTAAGTAAAGGCTGCTGTTAAATAATTTTAATGGTTGACATGGGAGTCACAAGGGGGGTGTGTTCCCTCCCAACGTGCTTCAGTGCCATCCTCAGAGCTGGTTAGTTCAGGAGGTAGGGCAGGGTTGGTTCCAGTTTTCTCCCAGGAAAGGTTTCGGGTTCCCAGCCAGCCCTGGGAATGAGTCCCTCGGCACCATGGCCATCATAGTTTAAGAGGGGCTTCTGCTGCCCATCCCCAACCTACCCCCAGTCCAGCTGAGGAAGGGGAGGCCAAGCTGGCCAACCCGCTACAGACAGTGCCCAGTCGAGAGCCCAGCCGTGTACGGGTCATCCTCTTCTGGCCAGATCCCACTGCCAGTGACTTTCTCTCTCACACTGGTGACTGGAGCCAAGTGCGGGGTGGGCCTTTGCTGCAGAGGCCTCTGGATCGTGGGGATCGATGCGGGGGAAGAGGAGCAACTGAGCGGGAAGCCCCAGGGGAATGGTCTGGCGGGGCAGCATCCAGGGAGAATGTTCGGGGACGTCCCCAGGGTAGGGGGTGGGTCCTGGCTGGGGCCACAGAGGCAGGCAAGCAGGGGCTAGGCAGGGCAGGCTGGTCTGTAAACATGGCTAGCCAGGGTGGGGGCGTCTCCAGCCTCACGCCCTCCCGCTGGGCCAGGATGTCTGTCACCGCTGCGATGTCATCCAGAGGCTCAATAGCTGTGGCACCAGGAAGGGGTTGAGGGGGTGGGGCTAGTCAGAGCTGAGGCCCCAGGCCTACCCAGCCCTGACCATCACCTGTCACTGTAATAGGAGGAAAGCAAAGCCTGGATCTCAGCTGAGATTTCATTATCTTGCAGTAGCAGCCCCTCACCTGGGCCTCCTGGAGCCACAGGCTCTGATAAGATTGTGAGGTACAGGGTGCAGGGTGGACAGGATTGGGGTGGGGGTAGGCAGAAGTGGGTGAAGAAATGAAGAAAGAAGAGGAAAATGAAAGCAGTGCCAAGCAAGTGAAGGTCAGAGGAAGAGACAGGAATCCACATCCACATGCAGAAAGGGAAACAAAAAAGAAGAAATTAGGAAAGAAATCCATGAAATGAATCTGGTTCTTTGGGGTTTTGTTTTGAACTTTGGTGGAAGTACTTTTACGAAGAGTTGGAGGAGAGAAAGGGACTCAACAGGACTGGGTGGGACTTGAGTCCCCAGAGCTCTGCCTTAGTCCGAGGTGTACCTTTGGTCTGTTCCCCTTATCTGGGTTCTCTTAAAGCTCCAGGCCCACTTCCCGTAAGGTTCCAAAGTATACTTTCACTCACCCATCTCATGGTACAAGGATCCCTGCTTGGCCAGTACGGGGGGTGGTTTCCGGGGAGCAGGGGTTTCAATCTTCATGATTTCATCACAGCACTGCTTCCACTGGCCTGGAGGGAGAGCAGTGATTGGGAGGGAGAGGAGGAGGCCCGAAAGGACCAGGCTACCCTCCACTGCTCCTGCTACATTTCCTTCCACTTTTTAAGGTTCTATTTTTATTTTATTTTATTTTATTTATTTTTTAGAGAAGGGAAGGGAGGGAGAAAGAGAGGGAGAAGCATCAATGTGTGCCTCTCGAACACACCCTGCTGGGGACCTGGCCTGCAACCCAGGCATGTGCCCTGACTAGGAATCAAACTGGCCACCCTTGGGTTCACAGTCCAGCACTCAGTCCACTGAGCCACACCAGCCAGTGCTTTTCACACATTCTTGTTACAGAGGCCCGGTGTAGCTCAGTGGATTGAGTGCTGGTTGCAAACCAAAGTGTTGCCAGTTCAATTCCCAGTTAGGGCACATGCCTGGGTTTCAGACCAGGCCCCTAGTGTGGGGTGTGTGAGAAGCAACCATACATTGATGTTTCCCTTTTTCTCCTTCCCTGTCTTCAAAAATAAATAAATAAAATCTTTTTTAAAAAAGTGACCCCAATTCCTCCCAAAGGTTCAATGTAGCCCTCTCTTCTTACTCATGTCAAAGAAAAGCTGCCACAAAGCCTCCATCCAGCTCTGCAGGGCTCCCCGACTCTCTGTCTGAAGGGTGTGTGTCACCTTGTCCTCCCCATACTGGTTACTGATGATCAGGGTGAAGGGCCGGCCTGTGGCATGATCCAGCTCCCCTGCCTGGACTTGAGTCTCCTGTAAGAGAAAAAAGGGTCTTCTTCCAACTCCATGTTGGTCACAGAAGTCAGCAGTGACTTCATGTGGGCTTCATCATCCCTGCCTTAGAGGAGCTTGTGGGGCTTTTAAGCCCTCTCATTTGCCTCCTACTGAACAGAGTGGGAAGGAATGGCAAGAAGGGACTGAGGATGAGACAGATGATCTTCAGTCAGGAAAGGGTGGGCAGGGAAGGCACAGAGGCTGGCAGGAATGCTGAGCCCTAATGTCCCTCACCACTTCCATAAAAATCTGCAGTAAAGTCAGCAAAAGGGCTAGGGAACAAAGGGGTCATTAGACAGGTTGGGAGAGGAAATCTGGAAAGGTAGAGTAGATGCAAATTAGAATCTGAGAGGGAATGTGGAAGGTGAATGAAAAATCCTAAACTGGCTGTAGAACCCTCTCTGAGAATTGGCAGGGACTCGGGCTGGTAAGTAGAAGGGATGGCCCTTTTCCAGTGATGCTTGCTGGGGAGAACATGGTCAGCATTTCCAGACCTGGAGGTGAGTGTGGTGCTGTGAGGAGCAGGAGGCTTTGCTCTAAGGTCTGCACCCACCCTCCTGGGGCCTGAGAGAGAGGCCCCAGGCCCCAGCACCTGCTTGCTTGACCACCAGGGACCCATCACCTTGTTGATAGCAATAGTAAACAGCGGCTCTTCTCCAGTGTCTGCGTCTTCAGATTGCCGGTAACAGAAGAGGTTCGTACCCTTCAGGACTCCATGCACTCGTGCCCAGCCCTGCCGTGCTCCAGCTTGCTGCGTAGATGACTCAAGGTTTCCTGGGGGAGTCACACTCCCAGCACCCTCTTTCCCAGCCTTCCATCAAGTGTCTGCTCCTTCTTGGCCCCCTGCTGTCTGAGCCTCCTCTTGTCTAACCATTCCCCTCCTCCTCCCACCCATATCTTGATGCTTTAGTCATTCTTAAGATTCTCAGGTGAGCCTGCTCTCCCCTGCCTTCTCCCAGTTCCCTTCCACTCTCTCAGGGGCCCTCACCTGCGCCCTGAGGGAACCACTCGCAGTAGGCTGGGTCATGCAGAGAGGCTGAGCCACCAAGCGGCAACACACACTGCCATAAAGGGGCAGCCAGGCAGGGTGGTCCTCTGGGGGAGAGCAAGTGCAGGGTGAGGGCAAAGAACGAGGAGGGGACCACCCAACAGCCCCTCTTTCCACCGTCCAGCATCACCCACGCGCACACACTCACCATGGCTGGCAAGGGTCAGGTCATGTGTGCGGAACCCATCTTGCACTGCTGCCAGGGTGAGTGTGGTGTGCGCCAAGAGGTGGTAACGAGGACCACTGCAGGGCGTATGGAGAAGAGGGCCTCAGGAGGTGAGAGAGCATGAGGGCCACTTTAGGTGGCAGGGGCTACATATAGTGCAGAGTAGACCTGCCCCATTGTTAGAAGGCAAGCTAGTGGAAAACTAGCTTGGAGTTGGAGAACAAACATTTACTAAGCTCCTGCTATGTGCCAGCTTCCATGCTTTTTATATATGTTATCCTACTATATCCCCATGACAGCCTTGGATGGCATTCTTTAGTTAATAGATGAGGCAGCTGGACGCATAGACAGGTTAAGGAATTTGCCCATAATTTATAGCTTGATAGGTAGGTGGTGGAGCTAGAATTTGAATCTATGTCTCCAAAATCAGCATTCTGTTCATTACCCTAGATGTTCTCAAAAACTGCTCCTCAGAGACCCAGTGATCCCACAGGGTGCTTCCAGACTGCTGTAGGCACTGCGACAGAGCCCAGGCTGCCCTCCCCCAGCCAGGGTGCTCTGTTCTATCCATGTGAGATGCATTTGCTGCTGCGAAAAAAGACTCCAGAGCCTAGCTCTCCCTGCATCCCTATTGGTTATCTTACTTGGCTTAGGCCCAGCTCAGTGCATCCCAGCCATGTGGCCACTGTTCATTCGTGTGTCTGTACACCCTGGCAGCACTACAAAGTAGGTTCTGCAAGCTCCCAGCTGCTCAGAGGTCACCCGTGGCCAGGATAGGCATTTGAAGGCAAGGGGGAATGCAGGGCCTTACCCCACAGCCGGGGTGGGGAGCAAGATGGGACTGCTCCCTGAACCCCCAGCACTCTCCAGTGATGCCCTCATACGCCTCCCAGAGGACCGGCCCAGGGAGCTGCTGAGCTTGGTGGCGAGCCTCTTTGGGGCACCAGCCAGGGCCCCCTCCTCTTCCACGCAGGCCCCATACAGCTCCAGTCGAAGTTCAAAGTCTGGCCCTGCCTCAGTGCTATAGAATTGTGGGAAGAAGAGAAGACGATGGTCCTGGGGAAGTCCAAGGAGGCATGAGGGATGGGGGTGGGGGAAGGATGGATGTGGTACAAGTTCAGGACAGCTCCACAGGGAAGGCCCATCTCCCTCCCCCCCTCCCTTCCCCTCCCCTGTAGCTACCTCATCAGAGCACTGGGGCAGAGTGGGAAGAGGGGGGAGCCGCACGGATGAGGTACTCACAAGAGCAGGTTGCTCTGAAAGGAGATGTCCGTGAGGGTTCTGTCCACCAGGATCATCTCTGTGTCCTGAATGTCTCCACCTAACTGCAGCAGCAGGAACACAGCCCAACGGTGCAGATCTGAGAGGGCAAAACAGGTTAACAAAAAAAGTGCCTCACAGGAGCTTTCAGCCTCGGGACAGGCCCCTGAATTTGTTCCAGTGTGTATGGAACTCACCGCCTTTGTTCTTGAAATATTCTGTGTCCTTCCACATGAGTGGAATTCG